GAGGGTAAGTGTGACCTCCCCCTGTGTTTGCTGAGCTCTCAGTGCCCAGTGGAATCAATGCCAGCCCAGTGTAGTCGCACAGGGTGAGGTCAGACTGTGGCAGATGTCACTGTTTCCAGGGTTACTCATTGTTACGGTGCTGGAACGAGCCAATAAGAGCGGCGGCTGGGGCTCGGTCGGTCTCTTTGTAGCGGCTGGGGCTCGTGTCCTTGTCGCGTCCTCAGCTGCTCTGCCCGTCTCTGCTGCTTCTGGCCCTTTCTCTCTCCCACTGCCTCCTCTCTGTGGGCAACAGGTACGCGCCGCTCCCCTCCTCTGGGGCCGGGGGGGATTGGCAAGGCAAGGAGTTACAACTGTGCACCTTAACTTCGGCTTAGCCGCTTTGTTTTTCTTTGCAAGTGAGAACTTCCCCCAGGTCCGGGAGGAGCATATGCACAGCCGGAGCACGGAAGGGAGATCGTTCTGCCCATCGCGCCTGTGCCGGCTTGTTTGACAGAGCTGCTGCTCGTTCAAAGCGAGCGTTTCCTTACTTAGTTTGAATGAACTTCTCAAAACTGTTGAACGAAGTATTTTAACAGCTTTTAAAGTGCACATATTTACAAGCATTGGTGTGAATAGGATGTGTAATATTGGTCTGTTTGCGGACTTGAGTCGGGCAGTGTTTTCCTGTCGGATTTGCTTTGAGATCGACAGCGCTGCGGGTAACTGACCTGCATTTAGAAATGTACAGGATTTACCTTGTTTATGAGTCAGTAACTAAGACTGCTTTACAGACCCAAACAAGAAAGCTAACTTGTGCAGAAAATATGAGAAGAATCCCATTAATGGCTTGAGACTAAAAATAGAGAAATCCTAGTTATCTGCTAGCGTTCCTGCATTTGGTCATTCGGGAGGTCTGTTTTCGGTAGCCAGTGTAGTATTGGAAATGTGGATTTATGTGTATGCAGTGTTAAGGAAAAAAATACTTTTGTTGATGTGTTTGTAGTTTCATAATGTTCTCCCTGAAATGTTCGGGACAAGTCAGTTTTATTTCTTCTTGTATTTAAGGGCTAAATCTAGATTTTAGAGCGAGCACTGTGGATTTTTCGTCAATTCGAGATTCCTTTGGTACAATTTGAGGTCGTTTTGTTTTGATTCCCCCCAGTTCTACAGCTTGACAGCGCCAGAGGCCCCTGCAACTGTAGCAAACCGTCCAAGAACTTTCACATTCACTAAAGATAACTTCTGTTCTACCCCCTATTGCGGCAGCTCAGTCTAATTGACATGTAGCTGTTCCAATGTTTCTCACTCGGAGCATAGCAACCTGCTAATCTGTACAGAATGGTCATGTTCCGATTGTTACTCTTGTTATACAATCCCACATTTATGTCAATAACAATTATACAACAAAATTAGTGATTGTTATGCCGGTTTCTTAAATTTGTCTATTTTTTTACTTGCGCAAAACTTGAAGAGCTAAATATCCCTCTGTCACCTTGTTTGTCTCCATGACCTCTTAACTGACTCCCATGATCCACAATTTAATATGTGCAAACCTTTGCCACATGCATTCTGCGCTGCACTGAATGCTATTTGTCCATTAAAATGAAATAAAAGAACTGCAAGTGCTAGAGATCTGAAACAAGAGAAGCAGAAATTGCTGGAGAAACTGGTGAAGAATCACCTGACTCCAAACCTTAACTCTGCTCTCTTCCCAAAAATGCTGCCGAATCTGCTGAGTTTTTCCAACAGTTTCTGTTCTTGTGCCATATGTCCACTGCTCTTTTCTGCATTGGATCCCGCTTCCTTCCCAATGTATTATTTCTAAAATCCTTGTCTATTTCCCACACCCCCTATCATTTTAATCCCCTCCAGACCTACATCCTCTCCTGAGCATTCCAGTCTTCTCATTATGTCTATTTGCTCCATCTCAAGTGACCAAAGTTTCAACTGCCTTGGCTCTCAGTATCTGCTTCTAAAAGCTTCCTCAACTTTGCAAATATCTTCTCAACCGAGTTTTTGCTTAGCCTTCTCCCCCATCCCACACCTCCTCCCCCACCATCCCACCCCCCCCCCCCAACCCACTCTCCTAAACTGACGTGATTCCTCTTTCTTTGTCCCTCTCTGGGAATTGCTTTGGGATTAGTGTTAATGAGTGGCGAATGCACAACTTTCCACTTCTGCAGGTGACTCCTCCTGTCAGGCAATCTCTCATGATGTGCCATGTTTGTGCATCATGTGCCATCCTCACACATCCATCAGAACTCTCTGTGACATCCATCATCCAACTCTGCCCAGGTCGACCCCTCCTGCTGCCTTCCACTTTGCCCTCGAAACAAGACCCGTGTAGCTTTACACTTCAGATCAACAAACCGGAATACTGACATAGTCTTTTCTATGTGTCACTTTCAACAGTTTTTTTTATTTGATTTGATTTAATATTGTCACATGTACCTAGGTACAGTGAAAAGTTTTGTTTTGCGTGCAGTACAGACAGATTATAACACACAAAGAGCATTAGGGTAATAGAACAGAGTGACGAATACAATGTTATGGCTGCAGAGAAGGTGCACAGAGAGCGAGATCAACACTAAATTTAAAATTTGAGAGGTCTGTTCAGGAGTCTAATAACAGTGGGAAAGAAGCTGTTCTTGAATCTGTTGGTATGTGTGCTTAAGCTTTTGTATCTTTTAAGCTTTTGTATCTGTTCTTTCTCACCGTTGCAATTTCAAGCACTCTCGATATTTATTAAGAATTTAAATCTTCAACTGGGGGACCATTTCTAAAATAACATTACAATAAAAAATTGAGAAATGGAATTGCAAAGTAGCTGTGATAGACATCATATTGTCAAATGTTCAATAGTCACTCCATTCTTCACTCTCAATCACTGCAACTTAGGAGCAGTTCTGTTATTTAAAAGAAAATCATGTTTTTAATTACTGTACATATTTGCGAATGACATTTTAGCCAATAATAATTGAGGCCTTTCACTAAATCATTTAACTAAACATTTGTCAACTATTGAAAATGTGGATTCTTTAGTGATGCAATGAGTTGTAGACCATGAGAAATGGGAACTGAAGTAGGCCATTTGTCTCTGCCATTCAATAGCATCATGGCTGATCCAACATTCCTCAAGTCCACTTTCCTCCCGTTTCCCTATAACCCTTGATTTCCCGACTGATCAAGAATTTATCTCAACCTTAAAAGTACACAAGGACTCTGCCCCCACAGGGCAAAGAGTTCCAAAGATTCACAACCTTCTGGGAGACAAAATTCCTCTTCATCTCAGTCTTAAATTTGTGCTCTGTATTCTGAATCTATGCCCTCTCCTCCCTAGCCTCTCCCATAAGGGGAAACATCCTCGCAGTATTTACCCTGTCAAGCCCTTTAAGAATCCTATATGTCTCAATTAGACTACCTGTCATTCTTCTAAGTTCCAATGTGTACAGTCCTGACCTGTTTAGCCTTTGCTCATAAGACAATCCCTCCATTTCCGGGATCATCCTAGAGACCCTTTTCTGAACTGGAAAATTCATTTGGTTCAATGTTGAAAGAAATGTTGAATGTTGAAATCATCCCTCATAATCTATCGAGTAATATCCTGGAGAATAACCCTAAGAAACCAATATGTTGTGGCTGGATGTGAGCATTACCAATATAAATGAAGGATGCTGTTTGGCCATATATTAATCCATGTGAAATATAAATTGACAATCATTCTAGTGCATTTTTATATCTAATCTAGTTATTTGCCCTAGCTATTCTTGATTTGGAACTAGTTAATCAGCCGGTCAATTCAAACATTGCATCCCGAAGATGTATGTAAGGTCAAATCCAAATTATTAGAGAAAATTGAAGTTGGTCCCTCTTCCTGGTGGTCTGGGGTTAATGCCAATTGACCTGGTATCTCCATTAACACCATTTGAATTGGTTTTCTTACCTCTCATATACCATATAACTCAAAAGAAAGACTTTTATTTATACAGTGCCTCTCAAAAAGCGCATTTCATGAATGACTTTGAATAATGTTTATTGCGCAGTTAACCAAAATATTTTTAAGCATGCACAAAAGACTTCTGATAGACTTTGTGCACTTTTCACTGTACTCCTGTATTCCTGTACTCGAGTGCATGTGACAATAAAATCTAAATCTATTTCCAAACTGTGGTGGTCATGTTGGACAACAGACACCCCTCAATCTGTAGTTATGTCAGTACTTTGAAAAAAGGAGGTTATTGTAACGTTTTGTCAGCGATCTTGTCTTTCTTGGAAACATCTTACAAAGAAGCATAAACCAGGAGCCCGGGTTCAAGTCTTACCTGCTCCAGAGGTGCACAATAGATTCTCTGCAGAGGTCGATAAGAAATATCTAGTGTACTTTGCAATAACAGGCGAGATAGACAGACATTTGATCTTGCAGGTAAGCAAGAATCAGGGAGTGTCATAGAGACATAGAGATGTACAGCATGGAAACAGACCCTTCGGTCCAACTATTCCGTGTCAACCAGATATCCTAAATTAATCTAGTCCCATTACCGGCATTTGGCCCATATCCCTCTAAACCCTTCCTATTCATATATCCATCCAGATGCCTTTTAAATGTTGTAATTGTACCAGCCTCCACCATTTCTTCTAGCAGGTCATTCCATACACACACCACTCTCTGCGTGAAAAAGTTGCCCCTTAGGTCCCTTTTAAATCTTTCCCCTCTCACCTTGAACTATGCCCTCTAGCTAAGGACTTCCCCACCCTGGGAAAAGACCGTATCTATTTATCCTGTCCATGCCCCTCATGATTTCATAAACCTCTACATGGTCACCCCTCAGCATCCGACACTCCAGGGAAAATAGCCCCAGCCTATTCAGCTCTCCTGATAGCTCAAACCCTCCAACCCCAACAACATCCTTGTAAATCTTTTCTGAACCTTTTCAAGTTTCATAACATGCTTCCCATAGCGGGGAGACAAGAATAGCACACAGTATTCTAAAAGTGGCCTAACCAATATCCTGTACAGCCACAATATGATCTCCCAACTGCTATACTCAATGCACTGACCAATAAAGGCAAGCATACCAAATGCCTTCTTCACTAGACTACCTGCGACTCCACTTTCAAGGAACTATGAACGTGTAACTCAAGGTCTCTTTGTTCATCAACACTCCCCAATACCTTACCATTAAGTGTATAAGTCCTGCCCTGATTTGCCTTTCCAAAATGCAGCACCTCACATTTATCTAAATTAAACTTCATCTGCCGCTCCTCGGCCCAGTGGCCCATCTTGATCATCTGATCAAGAGAGGCCTGGAAAGTGAAGCTGAGATATGAGATCAGACTGTGGAGACACACAACCAACTCCTCTGCCTGTCTGTTATCTTCTTATAAGGCGGTTAATATGTGGAAAACTTTAGAGACTCAGCTCACTCGGTAATACCTCTCCCTACCCCTCCCCTGGACAGAAAGCCCTGAGATCAAGTGGCTACTTTAGTCGACACTCAGTTCTGCAATGATCAGAGGCGTCATCTTTCAAATCAGACGTTAAAGTGGAGCCCAGCCCACCCTCCTTGCTTGATGTAAAAGATCCCATGCACTATTTTGAAGAAGACCAGAGGACAGCAATCCACAGTGTCCTATCCAATGTTTGTACCTCAATCAGCATCACAAAACAGGTTATCTGATCAATATCACATTGCCCTTTGTGGGAGCTTACTGTGCATAACTTTCCTGCTAAGTTTCCTAACTTACAACGGTGACTTGTAATTCAAAAGTTTGTTTGGTAAGGTGGTCATGGAAAGTGCTATGTAAATGCAAGTTTTTTACAGCAGAGGATTTCAGCAGAAGGAACAAACCTGAGAGTCAAGCTTGGAGATGGAGATTGGGGAGCGAGAAAATTGGGCAGTTCTCAATTTGAGCCAGATGGGAAAAAGAGGGAAATAGGATCTGGCCAAGACAATTTGAGAACAATCACATCCTTTACATGAGATACCAAGGTGTAGAGCTGGATGAACACAGCAGGCCAAGCAGCATCAGAGGAGCAGGAAGGCTGACGTTTCGGGCCTAGACCCTTCTTCAGAAATGCCTTGGCCAATTTTATCATTCCTTCCTGTTCCCTACTTTCAAACCATTCACTACACTTAAAGAGATATTCATTTGACTGTAAAATGCCTCGGGGTACCTGCTGTTATGAAGGGTACTTTGTAGATGTGAGTCTGTTGTTTCCTTTTCTCCTATATTCAGTTGTTGTCACAGTCTAATATTGATGTTGATTTGAAAGGATACCCCTTTCTAGTTTTTCAATTGCATGTTCTGTTTTGTCACAACGATTTTGAAAGTGATAGCTTTGTGTATGGGAAGTCATTTGTCACAAACTTGATTGAGTTTTTTGAGGACATAACAAAAAAGATTGATGAGGGCAGAGCAGCAGATGTTGTCTACATGGACTTTAGTTTAGGTGGTTAAGATGCATTTAGCAAACTTGCTTTCATTTCTCAGACCATTGAGCATAGGAGTTGGGACGTCATGTTGAGGTTATACAGGACTTTGGTGAGGCCATTTTGGAGTACTGTGTACAGTTCTAGTTGCCCTGCTATAAGGAGGGTATTATTAAATTGAAAAGGGTTCAGAAAATATTTGCCAGAAAGATGCTGGAACTGGAGGGCTTGAGTTATAAAGAGAGGACTTTTCTCACTGGAGCACAGGAGATTGAGAGATGATGTTATAGAGGTTTATAAAATCATGAGGGCCATAGATAAAGTGAATAGCAAAGGTCTTTTCCCTCAGGTGGTGAGTTCAAAACTAGAGAGCATATTTTTAAGATGAGAGGAGAAAGATTTAAAAGGGACCTGAAGGACAACTTTTTCACACAGAGGGTTGGTTGTATGCAGAATGAACTGCCAGAGGACGTGGTAGATGCAGGTACAGTTACAACATTTAAAAGACTTTTGGACAGGTACGTGAATAGGAAAGGTTTGGAGGGATATAGGCCAAATGCAGACAAGTGGGACTTGTTTCATTTCGGAAATTTGGTCAGTGCGGATGAGTTGGACCAAGGGGTTTGTTTCTGTGCCGTATGACTCTGTGACTCTATGATGCTATGAGTTTATGGTCTGACCTTCTTGCACCAATAGCCTGTTTAATATCCCTCAAACACTGTATTAAGAGGATGCAGATTTCAAATCCTCCCACAGCCAATGAGGAACCCACTTTCCAAGAGCTAGATGCTCCATATAAAGTTTCAGTTTCCAGCCAGCTATTCCATGCTGTTATTTGACACTGATGCATCTTCCTGTGTTAAATGTTATGTAGTTGACTCTACATCAAGGGGAAATTCAGTCAGTACTTTTGCTGACCATAAGTGGAACAAATCAGTTGAAGGAATTTTTCCTGAGCATTCTGACTCCAATGCAATGACTACAGGCTACTTAATTTAAGGGGATTGTTCAGGTATTGAAAGCAGCTGTTTCATAAAGGAATGCTGAAGCGTGTCCTGGCTCCTATATGAAAATGCTGATGTATTTGATGATTAAAATATAATACAAGTGCTGTAGCTCAGAGTGTTGACATTGTGTCACAGAGGGTCTTAGCCAGGGGATATGCACCAGGTGTAGGACCTAGTTAAAATTTTGAATGCAACTCAAGATTTGAACACACGAATAGCCCAAAGATTATGAAGCAGTGGTTCTTTATTCCACTGTCGTTAAATCATTACAAACATTACAAACAAAATTAACATTAAACTTAGAAAATATTGTACTTACAGGGAATTATGCATTTGGTTTACATCTGGATGAGAAAATCTTTTGTCTGTTTAATCCTTCTCCCCATCAGGACTATTGCCCTAAAGCAGCCTTTCCTCTGTGCAGGTTCCATTCGACTGCTCCATCTGCCCATCTCGGTGCCTTCCCTCACCATTCCCACCAGTTACTGGAGGCACTGGCACAACTGCCCAAGCTGCCCTGTTCAGTGTCCTCCCTCACCACCACCACCTGCTGCCAGAAGTTCTGTTACGTTAAACTAGATGCTCTGAAGTGTTGGCAAATGTAGCTCAGAGTAAATCCATTTGAGTCAGGTATCTGAAGTCTTTTGGTGACACCCCCCACTGTGATTCCACTTCATGCATTAAGTGGAAGTCTGTTGTCAGATGGAGTCGATGTGCATTTTTGGGGCGATCTTTGACCCATATGTCATGCCTGCATAATAAACTTAAACGGTTCTAATATTCTACACTGCCAAGTTTATCAAAAAGTTACAAGGAGAATGTTGCAACCATTGGGTACATTTGTCAGAGCAAACAGGAAACGAGATAATACAATTTTGCGTAGTGAGTTTTAGAAGTATTATTTAAGTGTAGAAATTGCAAGGAGAGGGACATGCTTGTTTGAACCCAAAAATAATGAAGAGGGGTTCTTTATTCCACTGTCATTAAATCACTACAAACATGAAGCAAAATTAACACTAAACATGGAAAACAGTGTACTTACAAGGAATAAAATAAAAATAAAAAAGTTTTCTGTGGTTTGAAACATTTCCAGCATCTATCTGACAGGCAAACATGTCCAAGATTCTTGTCCAAATCCAACTACCTTTGTTTTAAAGGATCATTTGTGCTGTTTTCAAATAATTTGTTGCATGAGGGATGATCCTGAAAGGCAGTTGCTTTATTTTCTTTGAGGATTGGGCTTAGAGCTGTTTATTAAGTTATAAACCTTTCACACTTGCCTTTGTCATTAGGTTCAAGTCTCAAGTGCCCACTCCAGGACTTGAGCATACAGATCTATTACTGAAGGAGTGCAGCAGTGTTGAAGGTGATGTCATTTAAATGAGTCTTTAAACTGAAGCCACATCTGCCTCTTTGGTGGATGTTGTAATGTATTGAAATAGAATTGTGTATTTTGTTCCTTTAAGGCTATACCATGTACATGCACCAACATTGGGAGTCTGCTAGGAATAAATAATAAAAGATCCATATTTAACAGCTGATGCAGCTCTGATTCTATATGTATCTGGTTGAATATCTGACTGTGGGATTATTGACACAGAAACAGATATAAACGGCACTATTTCAAAGAAGAGCAGAGAAAACATCCCCACTGTCCTGGTTAATATTTACAAAAGCAGATTATCTACTCTTTATCACATTGTTATTTGTGAGAATTTGCTATGCACTAATTGACATATTTCACCATTACAGCAATGACTACATTTAAAAAGGTTCTTCACCATTTCTGAAGCACTTTGTCACTTATGAAAGATGCTATACAAATTTACAGTTCTTTTTGTCTCCACAGAACATCACCATGTCCATCTTGAAGATTCATGCCCGTGAGATATTTGATTCGCGTGGTAACCCCACTATAGAGGTGGACTTGTATACTGGAAAAGGTCAGTTTTTCCCAGACTGTGACAGTACACTGACTTCTGATTATAACATAGTCTCATGTTACCAAAAACATTAAGGAGGTGCTTCCTATTACTATTAATCAGAAGCTTTAATTGAAATAAAGATTTATGTGGGGAGGTGGGATTGAGTGGTTTTGGTAGGGAGCGGTATTGGGGTTTTCGTGGGGAGAGGCACTTGGGGGGTTTGGTGGGGAGAGGGACTGGGGGGGTTTGGTGGGGAGAGGGACTGTGGGGGTTTGGTGGGGAGAGAGACTGTGGGTGGTTTTGGTGAGGATAGGGACTGGGGCTGGTTTTGGTGGGGTGAG